GAAACGTGATATGAATGATAAATTCAAACAGGGGTTAAAATAGTAAATTGCCAAAAACTGCCTCTCTCTCAACTTTTGATAGCAAATCCGTGACGGGGTTTCTAAAGGTTTTGAAAAGTTAGGGTGAGTTTTAAGAGAAATGAGATAATAACCATTTTAAGGCTATGTTCGGTAGTGCTTAAAAATAAGTGATTATTTGGGTGGAGAATATATTTTTAAGCACTTATTAGTATTTGAGAAATAAGTCTGAAATAATTGTTTATTTTAAAAATAAAAGTATTTTTTAAATTTAAAATTTTAGTTTTTTTAAGTGCTCATACAATAAGCATTTATTTAATTTTTTTCTTCTATAATTGTTGCCAATTAACTTTTACACTTTTTTACAAAGGCACTTTTATAAAATTCCTTTTGTGAAAGTAAAGTATTTTTACAAAAGCACTTTTATGAAAGCACTTTATGAAAGGACTTTTATGAAAGTACTTTTATAAAAGTACTTTTACGAAAGTATTTTTATGAAAGTATTTTTGTAAAAGTACTTTTACATAAAAGTACTTTTATAAAAGTATTTTTACATAAAAGCACTTTTATATAAATACTTTATGAAAGTACTTTTATAAAAGCACTTTTATAGAAGTATTTTTATGAAAACACTTTTATAAAAGTACTTTTATTAAATCACTTTTATGAAAGTACTTTAATAAAAGTACTTTTATACGAAAGCACTTTTACGAAAGAACTACAAAAGTACTTTTATGAAAGTATTTTTATTAAAACACTTTTATGAAAGTACTTTTATATGAAAGTACTTTTATGAAAGCACTTTTACGAAAGAACTACAAAAGCACTTTTATGAAAGTACTTTTGCAAAAGCACCTTTGTAGTACTCTTATGGAAGTACTTTTACGAAGCACTTTTATAGAAGTGATTTTATAAAAGCACTTTTACAAAAGCACTTTTATAAAAGTATTTTACAGAAATACTCTTATCAAGATAGTTCTATGAAAGCACTTTTATAAAAGTACTTTTATTCATTCACTTTGGATTAGATATTTTGAAAATTTGAAAGAAAATGAATGACAAAAGAGTCACAATTGCTTATTTAAATGCTTATTGGTGAAAAAGACCACCAAAACCCAATATAAAATAAGAGCTTATTTTTTTAAAATAAGCACTTGAAAAAGTTGAGTGCCAAATGCAAATAAGTGCTTATTCAAATAAACACTTATTCAATAAGCACATATTTCTAACATAAGCACTCCCAAACATGGCCTAAAAATGACCATATAGAAAAGAGAAGTTGTGGAAGAAAATATGTTGTATGTTGATGATGTTGTAAAGCAATTCAATGCAATACTTCTTAAGCCTTCCTTTAAAACATTAAACAATTAAAGATGATGTTGTAAAGCTAACAAACCCAGGAACAAGAAAATGAATGACAAATAGAGAAAGGGGAATAAAACGATAAAACTTAAAACGGAGCAACACAAAGAACAGATATAGATTTACATGGTTCAGCTTATAGCTTACATCCAAAGTCATTAGAGGAGAAAAAAACCCACTAAACAATGGAGATTACAATTACTATTCACAACCTTCTCACCAAGTCCTTGCTCCCAATTAGTGGTGGCAATTGGGCGGGTTGGGTTGGGTTTGGTTTGGGTTGAGTTTCAATCTAATCCATTTAACCCGCCAATCGTTAATGACCCAATTATGTAAAATTAAATGGGTTGAGTTCAACCCAAACCCGTTTTATCCCAATCCAATCCGCTCAAACCCATTAATCTTATATTTATGTACTTAAAACCAAAAACTAACTCTATTCTAATAAATAAGTTGGTCATAACTTAGTGATGGTAGTAGTTTTTATTTACACAAGTGGTGAAGGTTCAAATCACATTACATGCATTATTTTTACATAAGCAGCAAAGCCATTTAACTATGTTCGAGCTTCGGATTTGACGAACCACTTAGTTTCAAACCGGTTAGACCGACTTGAACTATCTAATTGGATTGTCTTTGAGATAATCACATCAAGAGTGGTTGAACCGTTTAGATCTGGACCCGTCTGATCAGACCAGGTCCCGACCGAACCGGTTCGGACCGGTCGGACCATACCCGAACAAACCATATTCAGTCCGGTCGGGACCACACCCGACCGGTCCAGTTCAGCTCGGTTGGGCCAGACTCTGACTGGACCGGTTCACTTTGGTCGGACTGGACCAAACCGGATTTGGGCCTGTCCCAGGCCAGAGGCTCCAAAAGGATATAGGTCAGCTAGCATTGTTGACCCAGGCCGGATTTGGGTCGGATTGTATGGATACAAGCCGAACCGATGATCCAAACCAGGCAAAGCAAGTGGGGTGGTTTAGGGTATGGACTTCACCCGGTCCGACCCGCTTTGGATTTGGGTCGACCTGGATCAGCTTGTGTCGGGTTGGGCTAGGTAGTGTGAATAATGGTTGGATTGGATGACCAAAACCGGGGAAAGCAAAAGATACCGAGCCATCCCGTTTGAGGTCTATTTCAAATTTGAGTTGACTCGGATCGGTATATGTTAGATTGGGTCAGACTGCGTTGAACTGAACCAGACTTGGGTGAAATTGATTTGAATTTATGTTGGGTGAAGTGTTTTGATTCAAAACAAAACTAAATTTAGTAAACAATTAATAGAAAATTAATACATTAATTATAAATTATTTAATTCAAATGAAGAAAATAAAAAAAATGACTAAGAAATTGATACTTATGTTTGTAAATGAGTGGGTTGGGTAATGGATTGATCACACAACCCACTAAGTAAATGGGCGGGTTAGATTCATGGGTGGGTTGGGCGGCTTAACGGGTTGAATGAAAAATTGCCACCCATATGTTGCGATTCCAGGCTACAGTGAGTATAGAGTCCTGCGAGTCCGGACAGCCTGCAAGTCTTGCGATTCTCACCTATTTGTGATTTTGGATAACATGAAAGTCCCAAGTGCAACTGAATCAACTAATTATGATTCCCTTAACACTGAGAATCACCATGGGGCGAAGGGTGTTCAGCGGTAGGCCGCGAGATTTGTTTCCACCATGGTTTTCAAAACCGGATCAGACCGGTTGGTCGGACCGGAAAAATCGAGAATTGGTCTGTTTTTTTCTAAAACCGCTTTTTCCCCCAAAATCGTTGATTTTGGTCAGCAATCCGTTGAATCAGTTGGTTAATTGTTTAAATGGTTTTGACCATTTTCTAATTTTTTAAAATTTATAATTTTTTTGTCAGAACGGGCCAGCCATTCGAGTCGAATGATCGAACAGTTCAAACCAGTAACCAGACCCCTGACCGATTCAGTCATCGATTTGTTTTTAAAAAACCTTGGTTTCCACCACAAATCATTATGAAAATTTGCCAAGGTTACTCTGGAATGAGGTCGAAGAGCAAATTCACAGTTGGAATATAAGGCACCAACAAAACACACCAGCTAGGAGCAAAGCTAAACTTCATTACCTCCATAGAGCCTAAATTTTAGTCATATACATGCTTTACTTATTTTTCTTGTTTTAATTGCAGTCACAATCCCTTACGTGGAAAATTTCTTACAACCCCTTGAACCAACCTGAGATCTCCTTCATCATTTATTACTTCAAAAAAATATCAATATTCATTCTGATCATCAAAATAGTGTCAATTCCAAGGAATTCCAATTAAATTAAGAATAAAGAAGAAGAGGAAGAACCAGACACCGGAATTTCCCAATTGACTTTAATTAGCCCAGTTTATCTGAAAAGTGAAAGTTTGAGATTATCCCAGGTGTGCGGCCTGTGCCCCTTACTAAAAATCATAAACCAGTAAGAGAAATTTCTTTTGTATACCATAAGAAAATCTCCTTTCAACTCAGGTGCAACAAAATCCCCTCACTAAAAATCATAAGCTCTTCTTTTTCTAGGCAAATAAGAAAATCTCCTTTTAATTGGACATTCATGCCAATAATTAATTTCTATTAGAAAATATTCATTCATTCATTCATTCGTTCTAGCATCGGTTCATTTTTCCCAACCATACCATCTTCAGCATTTGGAGATGTGCAGAAGAATGGATGAAGAGAGAAAACAGAGTGGCTCTGATGACATCCCCATGGTATTAGCCTCACGACACGCCCTTGGCATTTCATGAACTCTGTAGCTCACAAGCTTCATTATACTGTCAAGCAGATGACACCTTCCTACGTTTACGTTGTCCTCCATTATACTGTAACAAACAGACACATGAGTTGACGTCTTGGCATTTAGACATATTAAATGCTTTCTTTTGAGACTCATAACAAAATCTTACAGATTGGAGCTTCACTTGAACTGGTGCTTCTCACCAACGCGATTTGGATAAAGAGAAGTTAACGTAATTCAGACGTTACAGTGACGAACTCAAGAGCAAGGAAGAAGAAGCCTCTTCTGCATCTTTAAGTGTTTCTTATGGTATTTTTGAATTCTGTTACGTTGTCTATGCTCTATGAAATGCCCGAGGAAGCAATAAAATCTGCAATTAGAGAAAAAAAGTTGAACTTTCATTTTGAACTTTCAATCGTCATTTTCTTTAATTTGCACACAGTGGAACTCTCTCAAACTTTCCAGAAGTGTGTGACAACAATTACCACTGCAACTGCATTATATTCTACTCAAAGGCAGTAACAGTTAGATATCTGAAAACAGAACTAAATAAATAATTTGAACATTCTTTTCCTGTTTCCTTTACCATCTCTCCCTAAATATGGGACAGAAATCTGCCAAAGCACAGAACATAGCATCCTTTTGTAATTGTTTAAGCTGGTAGTACCACATTCCAAGTGTTATATATTAGATTAAGGCTCCATTGCAAATCCAAACCAGATGCAAAATTTGCACACGGTTCAGATGCACATGCATTTGTTTGTAACTATGATTTGAACCTCTTCCTGATCCAAAGTTTGCACTTCTCGTCTCAATTGTGTTCAGTGGAAATGCAAAATTTACTTTAAGAAAGTCAAGAATCATCTTCCATTTTCCTTTGGCTTTTCCTTCACATTTTGTAATGCTTTTCTTTTACCCTAATGATCCAAGAATATTGAGTAGATCATACTGCATCAACTTTTTCACATGCTTTACAAGGAAGCTATCCAAATACAGGAAAACAATGTATTGAATTCTTTCACTCTTTGCAGTGGGATCATTTGATACCTCAACAAGCAAGATCAATTTATGTGATGAAGGAAAATATGCCAGTAATCTCATCATTTTCTTTCTACCAAAGGATCATAGTCATAAGCTTCACCAGCCTTCACAAATCTTCCTTTCACACGTTTTCTGGTATCTGCTCTAGCTTTACGAGAAGCATATCTTATTTGCTTCCCAAATCTGAGAATCACGTACATGTAACACAGATTAGGAGCTTATAGCAAGCAAATGGCTACTAAATGAAGCATTATAATATTGATAAAGCAGCAGAAAGGAAACACAGAAATGAAACTAAATTGTATAATGGCAGACATATCCTAAACTAATATTGTTTTCCAGATTTAATGAAATATTCCTGTCTTCTATTTTCTATTTTATCGACCAAGTTTGTTTCTCAATCAAAGCCACATGCATACTGCAAGAGAATTAAAAAATAATAATTGTCCAATCATATTATCAGGATATATATAATAGCATCAGTAGTAACTAAAAGACAATGCCACTATAACATCTCAGCAATCAGTATTATTTTGCATACAAACAACATCAACCAACTCTACAAGTCATTGGCCTTCAACAAAAGAAAAAAAAAAAAAAAAACTCTCCAAGTCATTGACCTCTTATTAATTGTTTATTGATGAAACATGTGAACATATTTCTGTAACCCTTACATAGATAAAAGAGAAATCAACATGCAGATGACTAAGTTTTTCTTCATGATGAAACTTATGGGTATTCTATAGTTTCTAAACATATCTGCTTTTGTGATCTTGACATATTTCAAATATTGGACTCTTAGACAAAACAGTTCCAGAATTATTTCTAAAATTGATAAATAGATTACCTATACAATCCAAACAGAAGCCAGGAACAGAACAGTCTAATAATTAAAATGGCAGTTAGAAAATTTTCTGCAACTTATGGAAAATAAGTCATCTAATAAGATATGAAAATCATTCTAAACAGTCATCAAATCGTAATCATGTATTTTATTGACACTGAGTTGAGGAACATACATTCGTGTTTTCTTTTTCTCATTGTATCTCATCTTTGCTTTGTCTCTTGCTTGTGGGCAACTGGTATCCAAATTCGAATCCCATGGTGATTCACCGGTTAGAAACATTGGTGATACTCCACAGTCTTGATAATCAGAAACACTGCTTTCACCAGTGAGGTTGGAGAATGAAAGTGACAAACTTGAATTGACTTGTTGAGGGGGAAAACTTAGGTTGATGTTTTTGTTGTGATTAGGATTTAGAAAGACTCGATCTGTGGCACTATTTATACCCTGGACTGCAGTTGCTGATCCAGCACCATAAGAAGATTGAAGAGCAATGTAATCTGGTTGCCCTGACGATGACGATGCCTGATGCAAGTGAGAACAAAGGTGGTTGTCAGCCATGCAACTAATATATGGAGCCTTACTATTTTTAGCCTAATAAATGAAGGTCTCGGGTGTTTTGATGATGAAACAAAAACATCAGCAGATAGCATTCCTGATGCGTCAATGAACACACGAAGAAAAATAGAAATAGAAAATAAAAGAATGCCTCAAATGGATATACAAGGACTGAAGAAGCCTTTGTTCAGCATTTGGTTACATTATAATTTCATTTAAATTAGAGCTACATCTCTGTAAAAACTGGTGGATAATGTTCAGATAATAGGAAAAAAGCTCATTTCCACTACCATCAAACTGAGGAGAAAAAGAAAGAGTAGCATTGCTGGATTATGACCCTGTTTTGCTATAGCAATTAATCTAATAAAGACCTCATCAAATTTATTATGCAAGTGGACGATCATTTATTCATGAAAATCATAACCAAATATTACAAGGGAAGTAAGATGAGAAGATTATAATACCAATTAAAGGAACTAAGGAAGCAGGGGTACAATTCCCCATTTCCTCATGTGGCAAGTTAGCAGTAAGAATACGCAGAAATATCCATTACCTCACTGGGTACTTATCAAATCAATTGGTCTAACCACTACTGGATTCTCCACATCAATGCGAGAAGAGTTTGAGGATGGTGAAACTTGGTTCACATGGTTAAGTGCATATCCTATTCAAGTGCCCTGAATTCATTGTTTACAAATTTCAAAATAATGGGGGCATTCTTAATCTGGGATTAGCTACACCTGCATTCTACCAAACTAATGATAAAGTAGAGAAACTCTTCAACCACAGACCAAATCTATCTTAGATTGGCTAATATACACATTTAACTGTGAGTTGAACAAAAGAGAGAAAATATCTTGGGGAGATTGAGGAAAATATAAATTACATGGTTAAGTTGCAGGAAAAAGTGTTACAGGTTCAATGGTTCCTTTTTGTGATGAAGTTGTAGACAACTACAATTTAATTCCTTCTCCCCAGCATTATTTCAAAATTATGGAGATTCATCAAACATTGGGATCATCATTTTTATTGCACCAAACAAGAGATAATTGAACCAGAATTTTAATTATCATTGCGAAAAAGGAGAAGAAATACAAACTGATGGAAGATAGCAATATTTCTCCAGAAACGTGAGGTTGGAAAATACCTCCAAGACATTCTCACTGGGACAACTAGAGTCAGCAACAGAGAAATTTTTATCCATAAATAAGCAATCCATTCCAATATCCTCAAAGGAATGACTCGGTTGACTTTCTGAGCAACCAAATATTTCATCACTATTCTCAAAATTCAACTCAACACCATCCATGTTGAGACCTTCACAGAGATCACCACCATGACAGATTTCAAGATCCTTCAACGGAGAGCAGCCCTGCTGCACATCCTGGTAAGAAGAAAAAAAAAAGTAAGTTTTACATTCAACTCAATAAAATGGATCTAAATTTGTAAGGAACTGCTTTGATTTTGAATGTTAAGACTTAAGAGGCATTGAATACTTATTCTTGCATTATAAATACCACAGAAATGATGATACGAAGAAACGATTTTTCAAGTGATGAATTTGTCTTAAAATTTTAGAACAACTTGTAGAGACTAAACGTACATAAGAAACCGCCTTTGATAGTTTTAACTCCTCGGGGAAGAATGGCGGTTTATCTTCACAGTATGGCATAGAACTCACGCTATGTTGAATCACCGAAGATGGGCATGCCCAAGGATCAAAGGTAGTACAAGGTTCCAACTCATTCAACCTATTTGTCGTTGTCAACCCAGCCGAACTACTTCCATTATCTCTGGGTTCCCATGAATTACTAATGCAGTTCTCATTCATAGACATCAAACCAGGTGGTTCCAAACTTGCATTGACCTCCCTTGGTGGAGAGGAAGCATTACTGTTAGAAGGCCAAATCCTTGAGAGCTCTAATGCAGTAGGACTGCCCGAGTAGAATGTCACTGCCTGACGCCGATGCCCTGGCCCCGTGCAACCACACCCATTGGAGTCACAGCTCTGACAGAGATACATTTTATCTTCCAAGCACCCAATTACTGCAGGCTGCGAATTGCATTTATTGCATATCAGTGAACGGCAATGCCTCTGCGAGATGGCGTTCGCAGAGTGGACAAAACTATCACAGTTCAAGCAAAGACGGGTGATATCCGATCTGCAATAAACCACAGCCCTTGCCACTCCGCAGAAATCGCATACAGGATCCATTCTTGCTTCAAACCGAACAACTCTTAATTGAGGTTCACTTAATCACAACCTGTAGCACCGATTCATATTAATTAAATTAGCTAGACTAATCAAACAGCAAACTCCTAATCCTTTCCTGTCTTTAGAGAAAGAACACAACAATTGCACGCAAACTCGGCAGTGTAGACAAGTTCTACTAAACAAGAATGTCAAAAAGATTTGTTATTAACATCTTGCACAATCACCTTCAAAACTACACAATCTGACAACTACTCAGACTATTATAACAAATTGCAGCCATGCAGATTCAGCTGGAGTCGGAGGAGAAATAGGAGCATTTACCCAAAGCAAATCACCCCGTCTATATTGAGCTGAAGTCAGAGGAGAAAAAGGAGCATTTACCTATGGTCCCGCACAAGAAAAAAAGACTAATTCACCCCATGTGGGCTATACTTGGAGCTCCACGTCAGCTCTTTCTCCCTTCACCTTTCCTGCTTCCTCCTTAACTCTCTCTCTCTCTTCCTTCTCATTACGCCACATCATCAAGGCTCTCCTTCCTCCTATTAGTCTCCACTTCCCAATTACCTAAAAATCTTCCTAAATTCTCTCTTTCTTAAAATCTCTCCTAAATTTTCCTAAATTATCTCTCTCTCTCTCTTAAAGGCTCTTCTGGATCTTTTAAAATTTCTTTCTCTCTATTAAATCTCCTGAATCTTCCTTAAATATATCTCTCTAATTGACCCACGTTTTCTCCTAAAACACTCTCTTAATTACTTTTTATTCATTCACGTGGATCACATGGGTCAATTAGAAAGAGACAATGGGTGTTAAAATTAAGGGTAAATTAAAAAGACCCCCCTGTTTTATGGGGCCTGTGACAAAGACCCCCCTGTACTATGACCGTGAGACAAAGACCCCCTTCCGTTATCCTTCTGTCCAAAAAAGCCGTTGCAATGTTTTTTAATTCCCATATTACCATTATAATAACTATTCGGATAAGAAAAACACTATTCATCTTCTCCAACCTTCCCTTTGACGTGTATTGGTGGATTAATAACACTAAAAAATATGTAACTCAGCCATCAACAAAACGCACATAAAATGATCTTTCATCAACGTATAAAGTAACATAAAATGATCTTGTCACCATTGTCGAAGGAAAAGATCTATTTTTGCCATTGCTAGAGAAGAAGATCTACTTTCACCGTTGCCGGAAAAGAAGGCCTTTTTTCGTTGTCGCAGGGGGAGATTAAATCTATTAACCAATTGACTGCTTGTGCTTACTAGGCCTTCGCAAACTGCTTTCTTAAAATATACTCATCACTTTGTTGCAAACTCTCAGATTCTTGAGCCTCTTTCTCCCTCTCCCATGGCACCTTTTGCTTCTTCTTTGTAACACTCGAACAACAACAGCAAGAAGAAGCTCTGCAGAGGCATATAGCTCTTAATGGGGTTGATGCTCATGAGCAGGCACCAAAAGAGTGGAGGCGGGCTCTCAACCAGATGGGTTTCTCTCTTCTGCATTTTGAGCTTCTGTTTTGGAGTTTTGGTCGTTAATAGGTCATCTCTCTCTTGCTTGCTTTCTCCCTCTCTGCTATGCTTCTTGGATGAGTCGCACAACCTCTTTTGGCTCTGACTTTACAAGGAACAAAGTCTTGGAATTGCAAAAACTTTTCTAGGGCAGCCATCTCGGTTGAAGTTTTTAGCAAACTAAAATGGTGGACCAGCATAGGAGGGCGGTGACCAGCTTCTCCATTGGACGAAGATAAGAAGACACGCGAGAGTCCCGGTTTGAAAGGCATTATCTGAATCTATACCTGTACTAATCTGTATAGGAAGGCTCTTTCCTTTCTGGACTAGGAACTTTGTTTTAGAAAGTCATGGGGAGCAAGGAACTCCTCCACCGTATGTATATAAATACCATAAGGATCAATGGAACGGGCATGGTTTTGGAGCTTCCAATGTTTTCTTCATGGTATCAGAGCCATAACAAACGGGAGCGAGAGGTCTGTGTTCTAAGACCTGGAGATGAGTAGCGATAACGAAGTTGTTGAGAGCAACACCGCATTCCTTGGCTCCGGCAGAGTCCAGACTTTGCACTCCAGTTTCCAGTTCAGCACTTCATCTTCCTCATCATCTGTTCCAGACGACTCCAGAGCAAGAGCCAAGAGCAGACCCATCACTCCAGAGAGGTAGAGATTGAGAATCCTCCCAAGCAGAGTTCTTCGTCTGTCGCAGTCAGGCAGGCTGCACTCAGGCAGAGACGCAGAGTTCTTCTACAGTCTTCTTCCAACAGCGGCGGCAATATCTCCCGCCCCCGGCCATTCACTCTTCATCTCTCTCATTCTCTCTTTTCAATGAAATAAATCAGACGAGAACTGTTCATCGTCTTCCACCTCTCAACAGATGCGGTGAATCAACGGTGATTCCCTCTTTTCCGGCCTTTCTCTTCCATTTCATTATTCTCTGTGCTCCTCTCTCTTGCTCCTTGCTCCCTTGCTCTCATCGACCGAAATCGTGCAAAGTGAGAAAGTTACAATTCATCGTCTTCCTTCTTCGACGAAAACAGAGAGGCGGCAACTGAATAGCTCGAATCAGTTGCAGTAGCAAAGCATTCTTCCCTCTCACCTACCTAATCTTCTGGTATCAAAGATTGTCATGTTTCTTACTGTTTCTTCTCGATATTATTGCTGACAAGTCTTGTTGATCGGTCACCATGGCTGCCAATAACGACCGGAACGGTGAAAGCTCGAGTAAGTCTCTTGGGCTGTCTTCTCCTTACCGAGCATGGGGAGACAGACCCCACGGTACCTCGACTGGACGTGGAGTAGGACAAGGAAAAGGGGGTGGACGTGGCCGAGGTACGACAAAGGCTCATGCTGCTCAGTCATCAGGAGGGCGTGAGGAGGCTGCTAATACACCTTTGACTAACGGAGACCAGACCGGCCTGAGCGGGTTCAATGACGAGCAGTGGCAGACTCTTGTAAGCATGCTTAATGCTTACAAAACCAGGACCAATGAAAGACTCTCTGGTAAGAATTACTCCACTGAATGGGTTATTGACTCTGGGGCGTCACATCACATGATAGGGAATTTAAATGTGCTCGTCGACACCTATGATGTCGCACCTTGTCTTGTTAGGTTACCCAATGGTGCGCACACCGAGGCCGTGAAAGAAGGCATTGTTGAACTCGAAAATAATTTTAAATTGCTACATGTGTTATATGTCCCAAAACTCAATTGTAATTTATTGTCGATAGGTCGGTTACTTCGTGACACATATTGTATTATTACGTTTACTAAAAAGTTGTGTGTGATACAAGACTGCATCTCGAGAACTCTGATTGGTGTGGGTGAACAGCTTGATGGGGTCTATGTCTTCAAGGGTGTGGCGCCGGTTCTTGCCTGCAAGACAGATGGAATTGGATCATGCGATTTGTGGCATCGAAGATTGGGACACCCTTTTTATCAGACGGTTAGCTTAATTTTTAGTATTGGTAATAGTAGGAATAAAACCTGTGATGTTTGTTTGAAGGCGAAGCAAACTAGAGATGTCTTTATTCAAAGCATTAATAAGGCGACTAATTGTTTTGCATTAATTCATTGTGACCTATGGGGGGCTTATAGAGTACCTGCATCTTGTGGTGCTGCATACTTTTTGACAATTGTTGATGATTCTTCTCGAGTAGTTTGGATTTATTTGCTGGCTGAAAAGAGTGAAGTTGGTCGAACACTCAAGAATTTATGTGCAATGGTCGAATGACAATTTAATAAGAAAGTTAAGGTGGTAAGGAGTGATAATGGCACAAAGTTTAAATCCTTGAAATCATATTTTGATGAGTAGGGAATTTTGTTTCAATCTTCCTGTGTTGGAACACCACAACAAAATGGTCGTGTAGAGAGAAAACATCGTCATATTTTAAATGTGGCGAGAGCACTGAGGTTTTAAGCACATCTTCCGATTAGCTTCTGGGGAGAGTGTGTTTTGACCGCAGGGTACTTGATTAACTAGACACCTTCGACCCTTCTTGGTGGTAAAACACCTTACGAGATGCTGTTTGGACAAAGTCCTTCTTATAAACATCTTAGAGTTTTTGGTCGCTTGTGTTTTTCGCATACTCGGGACCGTGACAAATTTGCCGCTAGGAGTAGAAAATGTGTCTTTGTTGGGTATCCTTTTGGGAAAAAGGGATGGAAATTATATGATCTTGAGTTTGGTGATTACTTCATCTCACGAGACGTGGTGTTTAGTGAGGCCGAGTTTCCCTTTACCACTCCGGAACATCAACCCTCAGTAAACAATCCTCCCGTAGTCAAAGAAAATGTTGGGTTGCCTTGGGCCACTCCTCCTGACATGGTATCTGCGTCACCTCATATAGAAGTCAGGGGGAGCGACACGATCAATGAAGAAGGACATCAGAACACAGGTAATGATGAGGAGGCAGGTCCTCATATAGAAGTCAGGGGGAGTGGCTCGATCAATGAAGAAGGACATCAGAACACGGGTAATGATGAGAAGGTAAGTCCTCTTGATGAGACAAGGAGCCATGTAGCTTGCAAAAATAATGAAACTCCAACTGCTTCTCTGCCCACCACAGAGTTATTAGGCCGCAGATATCGAGAAAAGCAGCCCCCCAGCTATTTACAAGACTTTGTCACACACTTTGCTCGTCGTTTAGACCCCTCCGATGTTTCTCCCTCATCATCTCAGTCCTCAGGTACTCCTTATCCCATAACTAATTATGTGACGTATGATAATTTTTCTGTGAAACACAGACATTTCTTGGCAGCTGTTAGTGCAGGCCGAGAACCTACTCTTTTCTCTGAGGCAATGACTGATGCTCGATGGCGTGAGGCTATGTGCCAAGAGATACAGGCTTTGGAAGACAACGAGAAATGGACCTTGGAAGACCTCCCACCTAGAAAAAAGGCAATCAGGTGTAAATGGGTCTACAAAATCAAGTACAACTTTGATGGATCCATTGAAAGATTTAAAGCACGGTTGGTAGTCCTGAGTAACA